AGTCAAATAAAAAATTCAGTGGAAAGTCTCTTGGTCATATTTTCAAAGGAATGTAAATCAATGCATGAGAGAAACCTGCAGACCATGTTTGTTGCAGCTCTCTTCACAACAGCCAAACTGTGGTAATGGCTGAGGTGTCCAACAACCAATGAATGGATAAAGAAAATCACACACACACACACACACACACACAACCACACACATAACCACAGAGTATTACTCAGTCATAAAGAAAAATGAAATGTCATTTGCAGGAAAATGGATGGTGATGGTAGTAATAATGACAGGACATGAATGTATGTGGGGGACTGTTTAGTGAGATAATCAGAGGGAGGGGAGGGGGAAGGAAAGAACACTGGGGGAAAGAGGATCAAAGCAGGCATATATATATATATATATATATGAAGACAGCATAATGAAACCTACCAGACAGTTTGGAAAATAGGAGGAGTCGGAGGGGGATGGATTTCTAATAGAGGGGGCACTTGTTCAAGGTACACTGCATGCATGTATGAAATTATCACAATTAAACCCCCTTTTATTAACAAAATGAGTTATTTACACTTAGATTCCATTTTTGGGATAGTACAAATATATCATTAAATCACTTTTTCTGCCAGGTGGCCAGGTTTCCAGCTGAGGCTCCTCTCTGACCCCAGTCATGATACCTACTCTGATCCAGTGCTCACTAGGGCCCTTCTGTTTTCAGCTTATTATGAATGTTAAGGTGTCTTTTCCCACCTTCCCACCTGGGAAATTCCTACAGGTGGGAGCCCCCTCCCTTCACCAGGATGATCATTCCTGAATGTTAGTGAAATGCCAACCACGTCTACCAAACAGGGAGAATCAGAGCTGTGACCCTGAAAGTGCTTTGAGAACTGAAAAGTACTAGTTAAATAGGAATTTTTAACAAAGGGCTGAAAAGCACAAAACATCTGAAATGAGTAATTTATTGAAAGTATTATGGCATTTTATTAATTTATATCTACTGAAAAGAATATGCAGCTGTGTGCACAAAAGTCTCAACATGGGTGCAGGAATTGGTAGTTACTTATTTGAAACACTCTATATTGTTTTCGTAATTATTAAAAATAACACAGTTGAGAAATATGGGAAAACATAAAATGGACAATGAAAACCACCCATAATTCTACCCTCCAAAATAACATTTTCAGTATATTGCTTCTATGCTTTAAAGCAAACCCTTAAACGAGTTTCACATGATTGCTATCATGCTACATAGGTGTGTGTTCTGCTTTTTTCACCTAACACTGGGTTAGGAACACCTCCCCATGATGTTGGAAATTCTTCATGAGTATAGTGCCACTTCCAATGTGGCCCCACACCTTGAGGACCGTGAGCTCACAGGAGGCTGTGCACAATGCAGCCTGGATGGAAAACTGACAGAGATGTGGACAGAGCCGAGCGGGAGATCTGCACCCACACAACTAACAGATCGGGCCTGGTGGAAGGGAGTGCCAGCCCTGAGTGGCTCCTAAAAGTGGGCATTTTCCTGCTTCATTCATACAGGATGGTAGGTTCCTATTTATGTGAGATAAAGCCCAGACAGCTTCAAGGTTGGGAGGCCCTGACATGAAGGTCAGCCAGAATAGAGGGCATTTCTAAACTGGTGATGTCAGTAGAAGTAGTATTTGCTTGCTGGGTGGCCACACACAGCACAGGTGAGTAGGGGTTAGTCTCCACTAGTAGGAAACTGCTTTGGCTCTTGTATTTTTTTGCTCTGTGGCTGGGTGAGGGTGACCAAAAGCAAAACCAAATGACAAAAAGAGAAGTCACCCCAGATAGTTGGTGAAGATAGCACTTTAAAGTCACCTGGAACCTTCCCATCACCAGCAGTCCCAGCCTTTGCCAGGCTGTTTATGCTGGTATGGAACTGGTAAAAAGGAAAGAGAAGACAACGGGGTGGCTTGGGAATGCCCCAAGTGTAGTTCTTTGAGAACTAGATTTTCAAGTTCAAAGTGCACCTAGCTTCCTCCTCTGGAGAGCGCTCATTACATCATGGGGTAGGCGATGACAAAATAGTTAAGCTCTGAATCGATCAGTTTTCTGTACTTCCTGTAAATTTCCCGGAGGGTCCTGTCCTCTTCATTTGTCTCATATCTGTTTGTATAAATTCTTACCTGTGCCAACAAAGAAACACACACACACACGTGCATGCACACACATATACACAGTGACTACATCATTCAGGACCCAACAACCACCCAAATTATCTACACATACAATTACTGGTAAAATTAGAAAAAGCCCAAATCCAACTACAGACATCTGTTGGTATTTGTAAGGGGTTTGCTCCAGAATCCTCCTTGGATACTCAAGTCCCTAACATAAAATGGTGGACTATTTGCATATAACCCACACAACAGTCCTGTATACTTTAAGTCATCTCTAGATTACTTATAATACCTAACACAATGTAAATGATATGTAAATAGATGCTATACTGTATTGGTGCAGGAATAACAATAAGGAAAAAAGTCTGTATCTTCAGTACAGACACAACTTTTTCCCCAGCTATTTTTAATCTGCAGTTGGTTGAATCCACAGATACAGAACCCATGGATATGGAGGGCTGGCTGTATTAGGAAGAGAGCTCCAAATCCTGTTTGTGAAATTGTTTATCTCCAGTGGGCACCATTCCCACCTCACCTCTGACCTATACCTCAGGGCAGAAGCAGTATGTTCATTTCCCTCCCCCAGTCCTGTGGACCCACCAGCGGCTCTTACCTTGAGTGTGTGCAGGGTGCACTGCCCCTCCTCCTGGCTCTTCAGGATCCGCTCCACAAACTTAACATCGAGGAAAGCCCAGATTTTGAAGTAAAACAACTTTCTACAGGATAGGATGAGGAGGTGCAACTCCTCATCAAGTGACTCATGGTTGTTGTTGAATTCAAAAGTTAGTTTCTGGAAAAGCACCAAGGGGGAATATATGTGTGGGTAGAGATGCTGGGACTTGCCAGGTCATTCCACAATGCCAGGTCATGCCACAATGATTTGGCAGTTTTTTTAGATAAGGGACACTAGATATTTAGTTCTTGGAGGGAGAGATTTGAGAATGACCTCACAGTCATTCTCATGCAAGTTTGTGAAACCCAGAATTTAGAGGCAGTATATTTGGAATGAAGACATCAAGGTGCTGGTCTCAGCTCTGTCGTTGACTACAGGGCAACTGTGTGCAGGCCACCAAACTTGAAGTTCTTCTGTAGCACCAAGGAATCATAATGATGTCTGTTGTGCCCACCTAAGGCTTATGTGACTATCAAATGTGTGACAAGGACTTTAGAGTCCATCCATGTTAGTAGTGGTGCTTATGCCATTAATGTCAACTGTTAACCACTGTGAGGTCCTTAGAAGGGACACAATAATCCTGATTTTATAGGTGAGGAATCTCCCAGATCAGAGAACAGCAAAGACCCTCCAAGCTCTTCAGTGGCCTACGTCAAAGTTGACTTTTTTATCTGGTCTGATCCTTCCCATCTCTCTTCCTAACCACCAGGCACTGTCCTAACCAGATAGGTCATTCCCTGCTTAGCACAGGGTCTCCTGTGTGTGGTTCTGACCCAGTGGAAAAGCAGGAAGAAGCTGCTCATCTGCCTGTCATCGACAAGGTATCTCCTGGCTCAGGTTTCACAGCTAAGAATAGAGGGGCTTCCCTTGGTTGGCAGCCAACCCAACAACCCCTGTGTCCCACGTGCTGGGAGAGAGTACATTTGGCAGTGTGGGGCTGAGTGAGCGTGGGGGCCAACAGGGAGCAGGCAGAAGCAGGCTTTTCTCCAGAGAAGCTGCTCACCTGAGTGGCAGTGACTCCTCACAAGCCTCGGAGTCCCTTCACGTTCCACTTACCTGCAGAGTGTGCCGGAATGTGGGCAGGAGGTCCATCAGAGTGGGCCGCATGGACCAGTCTGGGTCACTGAAGTAGCAGCTCCTCAGGCTGATGCTCCTGATGGGGATCTCCTGCAGGAGGATCCTGGCTAAGCGCTCGTACTTCATGACCCGCTCGAAGAAGAAGTTCACCTTCAGGTTGCTGGCCTGCTTGGCCAGCTTGGCCCAGGACATGCCCCAGACGACCTGCCCATGAGGGTCATGAATGTGGCATTTGATATTCATGGTCCAGAGTGTGCCAGCATTGTTCTCACTCAAGTTCTCCAACAGCTCATCAGAAATACAGTTGTAGTTGAGTGTCAGGGACGTCAGGTTGCGGAATGTGGCCATGATCTTATGAAACTGGGGGCTGCTGTACACCGCCAGGTGATGACTGAAGAAATCCTCGATGTTGAGCTCTGAGGCTGTGCTCTCATTCCGCAGGTAGCTCAGGGAGTTGAGGACGTGACAGCCTTGCTCCACGGTCAGCCTGGCTCCTTTCAGGCTGAGGTAGTCCAGGTGTTTGCCCATTTTCTTTAGGAAGAAGCTCAAGCTCTTGATGAGTGAGTTCCTGGTGCTGTTCCTCCAGACCAGGCGGTCCATCTCCAGGTGCTGGATGGAGAGAGACTTTAGACGGTTGTTATTCTTGCCCAGGCATGACAGAAGGCCTCGCATGGTGACCTGGAACTTCTTGGTCAAGACAGCATTGTAAGGATTTAGGAACTTGATCTCCAGGTGTTCTAGATAACGACCAAATTTCTTAATGTACCAAAGAGCCGACTCGAAATCAGATGCGTGTACCCTGGAAGGTCTCCCGCTGAAAGTGATGGTTCTGTATCGCCACAGGTCAGCTGAATACATCATCTGGTTCCACTTCCTGCAGACCAGGGCTGCCCTGGACCTGTCCCTGTCTCCCAACCACCAGAACACACGGCGCAGGCACACATCAGGCAGAGTGGCCCAGCAGCTCTGATCTTGGGGCTGGATCAGTTTGCTTTCTTCGTCCATCGGAGAACTGGGATGTACAGTGTAGCTGTGTGGTGGACTGGGCTTCCAAAAAATGAGGAAGGAGAAGCAGTCACTTGTTTTCTGTGGGAGTAAACGGAAATTAAACTCAATCGAATGGACTTTATGATCCTGTGTGTACCATGTTAGGCACTGGGCCAATGCAGGTGGTTCAATGATAAAGTCATGACACAGCCCATACCTGTAAGGATTTCACAGTCTACCCAGGGACAGACCAGCGTTCAATTGTAACAGAGTGAGAGAATTGTAAAGGTCCTTGCATACTTGTGGCGGTGGTGGGCTGCTCAGAGTAAGTGATATCTGAGCTGGGTTTTGAAGGGCGAGGAGGATTTGCAAGGTGGACCAGATTGGCCTAATGGTGGTAGAGGAAGAACAGATTTATTCCAGACAGAGGGAACAGTGTGTGCAGAGCTACAGAACTGTGTGTGCATTCAGGGAAATAAAAATTGTTTGGACATCTTGAACTTGCAAGTTCAATTGAGCACATTAAAAAATTGAGATACCTATTCAATTTTAGCTAAGGCTAGGGACTTCTGCAGCACACAGCATAGATCAAGGCCTTAAAAAGGTGCTCGCAAAACTAAACCAATTTAAAAGCCAAACTAAAGGGCTAGGGGTGTATAGCTCAGTGGTAGACACTTGTCTAGCATGCATGAAGCCCTGGGTTCCATCCTCAGTACTGAAACAATGACACACACACACCCCAAACTGAAAACTAAACTACTCCCTGGCAAAGTCACAGGTGGGAGCAATCATAAGACATTTAAGAAGTAGGGGTGGGGTTGGAAAAGTATGTTTGGAAGGCTAGAGTTTTTGGAAGGATCCCCCAAATCACATGTAATGAGAGAAGAGTGGTCACCTCCCTCCCCCAAATGGCCAGTGAGAGGCAGTGTCGCTTAGAGGGTTGGGTCCTGGCCTGCCAATAGCTACTACGTGGGATAGAAAATCAATCCTAAAGTTCACGCAGAAGCACAAAGGACCTCAAATAGCCAAAGCAAGAGCCATAGTAATAAAAACAGTATGGTAGTAGCATAAAAACAGACATCTAGATCAATAGAATAGAATAGAAAAGAGACCCAGAAATAAGCCCACCCAGTTATAATCACCCAAATTTTGACAAAGTTACCAAAAATATCATTGGAGAAAGACAGCCTCTTCAACAAATGGTGCTGGAAAAATTGGATATCCACATATAGAAGACTGAAATTAGATCCTTGTCTCTTTCCCTGTATTAAAATCAACTCAGAGTGGATCAAAGACCTAAAGTGTGAAACTACTACAGGAAAACACAGGGAAAAAACACTGAAGATACAGACACGAGGAGCAACTTCCTGAATAAGACTAATGGCTCCTCAAATAAGATCAAGAACTGACAAATGGGATTGTGTCAAAATAAAAAAAGCTTCTGCATTGCAAAGGAAATAGCCAGTAGACTGAAGAAACAGCCTACACAATGGGAGAAAATCTTTGCCAGTTATTTGTCGGACAAGGAGCTCAAAATGTTAAAACTCCAAAAGAAACAACTCAATAAATGGGCAAAAAATTGAACAAACAGTTCTTGAAAGAAGGAATACAAATGGGCAATGAATACAAATGCTCAACACCCCTGGCCATAAAGAGAATGTAAATCAAAATGACATTGAGATTCCATCTCCTCTCAGTCAGAACAGCCATCATCTAGAAGACAATGCTGGTGAGGACCGGGTGTTTGTGTCGGGGAGGAGCCCTTACACACTGCTGGTGGGAATGTAAACTAGTGCAGCCACTGTGCAAATCAGTATGGGGTTCCTCAAAAAACTAAAATTGGAACTGAGGCAGGCTAGTGACAGGGAAAGTCGCCAGGGGACTCTGGTGCCACAAGACTTTTCTCAATTCATTTCATGCTAAACTCCTTGTGTCAGCCCAATGATACCCTTTGCAGCTGTAAATTTCTTTTCAGTTATAAAATCTTAGCATTTGTAGAGTCTTCTCCAGTTGTAAATCCTTTGCAGTTTTAAGTTTCCCCCAAAACAGGAAGCCTTGGGGAAATTCTGCCCACGAGTGCAGAGATCAGTGCTTCTATCCCACCTGAACCAGGCCTAAAGCTCTTTTGTGGTGCCTTCCCCTCACCTTCGATAAATTTTTACTACCACTTTCACGACATTGTCCCATCCTGCCTGAATTCTTCTCCTCCAGGCCTCAAGTACCTGAAATCTGCTGGACCAGAGTCTCCTTAGACCACCCATCCACTAACAAAACTATCATATAGCTAAAGGAATGTAAGTCAGGATGCAACAAAGACACTTGCACACCATACTGTGTTTATTGCAGCACTATTCACAATAGCTAAGCTATGGAAACAACTCAAATGCCCTACAACTGATGAGTGGATTAAGAAAACGTGGTGTACCACTCCACATAACTCACAGTGGAGTCCTATTCAGTCATAAAGAACGATATTATAGCATTTTCAGAAAAATGAATTGAGCTGGAGATCATTCTGTTAAGCAAAGTAAGCCAGGTTCAGAGGATAAAGGTTGTTTTCTCTCCTCTGTGGAATCTAGACCTAAAATGTATATGGACACACACACACACACGACTGTACCAAGGGACTGTCGCAGAGACAGTGGGGAGATGGAGAGGTAAAAAGAATGATGGGGAGGAACTGTGCTGAAACACACGTGTCCATGGTAACACAAGGCAACCCACTGAAAGCTGCCGAAAACTGGGTGGAAGGGAGGATGGGGAAAAGAGAGCACAAGAGGAGGTTAATCTGATCAATTTACAATATAGGCATGTGTGCAACAGTACGGGGTTTAACCTTTGCTTGGTTAAAAAGCACTAAAAAATTGGAAACTAAACAAATAACAAAAAACTGTGTGGCTTTAGTCAAGGCAGTTTCTTTGTACCTCAGTTCCTGCATCTGCAAATGGGAGCAATAACACCTTTCTCCTAAGTTAGGGGTTTACATGAGCTGATGTGCCTGGCACACAGCAAATGCTCTGCAAGTGTTGACCACCCTTAGTAAGTTGGGTCAAGGACTTCTGCACTATTCCTGCGAGGAAGCTGTGGATGCATTCACTTTACAAATGGAGAAACAGGTGTTGGAAGGTTAGTGAAGCTTCCCAGTGAGACCGTGAGGTGAGGGGGATTCGAACCCAAGCTGGGCTGCCCAAACCTAGGCTTGGTCCACCATAATGCCACACAGCTGCCAACAGAAGGAGGAAAGCCAAGGGCGGTGGGAAAACCCCGCATCCAAAGACGCTTTAGGGAGGGGGCTGATGAGGAGGGCAGCCCACCTAAGCCGCGCGGGCCTCCAGCTGTCCCCTGCCCCCATCCCCGGCCTGCGCCCCTGGGCGGCTGCCGCCCGCTGCCCACGCTCGCCAGGTACCGGCTCTTTGCGCCCTGCTCAGGCTGCGCCCCGTTTGGGCTGCCCGGATGGCGAGCGCGCCTGCCTGCTCCGCCCGCGCTGCTGCTCCACGCCAACTCCGCCAGCACCCGGCGTCCGCCCCGCTCTCCCCGGGTAAATGCCCTGCACCTGGCCGCCTTTGTGACGCGCCACCGCCCACCGGGCTCCGTTCAACCTCTGCAGTTGCAGAGGCCCAAACATAGGGTTGCCAGATCAGTTGGTGGAGTGGGTAGAGGGCACCACGGGCCTGGCGCAAACTGTCCAGGAACGCGCCCTGGGCAGGAGTTAGGATGCAGGAAGAGGTTCTGCCCTCAACTTTGGGCTCAGGCTCGTCCAGCCCGCCGCTGTCCAGTCCTGACCCGGCCGGCTAGGGGGAGTGTGGGGAGTCCAAGCTTGTGTGCCTTTCCTTTGGAAGACGGGGAGGCGTGCAACTCTGTTGCTCAGCGTTGGGCCTCTGCTGTCCTGGCCCTCTAGCAGGCGGCCCAAGGACAGCCTTAAGCAAACCTAACTTGAACATCATGAAGCTTAAGAACCCTCTACCTTGTCAGAAGCCGTGGGAGTAAAGGATCTTCCTAAAGCCCAGGCAGAGTCAAATGTACTGTTTGCCCTAGGTAGATTGCTTCTCCAGGCTTCTTCCTCCCTTTGAGGCGCACCTGGCCACAGGGGCCACCCCAGCCTCAGTTTTCTCCCTCCCTCCTTTCTTCTGTGCCTCCTTTACTTCTGCCATTTCTTGTCCAGAAAACCAGCGAGGAAGCCAAAGAAAGTGGACAGGAAGCTTTCAGGGAGGGCGTTTTTATTCTTCAGGGTCTTTAGACACCCCAGCTGCTCAGCCTTCATGCTTAATCAGAACTCAGCTAGAAGAGTTAGCACCTATCCTGTCCTGGTCATCTGTGGCCCTTGGGCAAGCCAATGTCTGTTTAAAAGAAGAGGAAGAGTTAAATTCCACACCTTTTCTTCTAAAGCCCAAAGAATAAAACCCATCTTTTTCACAAGTAAAGACCACCACAGAAAGGAAGCAGGAAAACTGGTGTAAACAGGAAATCTAAATTACAGTACCTTCCCAACTGTAGCTGGTCTTTCGCACTTGTTTTCCTCTTGATGAGGCTAACCACTGGCATTTCTCCTAAAGAAATGAATATAAAAAAGTTCAACATGTTTCAAGTGTGAAATGCCAAGTTTCAGAAATATTTCTGGATGTTGCTGTGCGGTATAGAAGAGACAGGGAGGGGAGGGGAGACTTGTGTTTAATAGAGGCTGTGGTCCTCAGTGTTATCAGCAGGCGGAAGAACAGAATGCTTGCACCTGGTACTAAAACAATTCGCCTCATTGTTTACTTGGGTATTGCTAAATTGTAACATTAACATGCCAACGAATGTGTGCAATAATACTGCAAATGTGCCTGTTTGTATATGATTATATAATCGGGTTGTCAAAAAATGCCACATTCAATTTCATTGTCAGAGAAACAAAGAATCCTTGCATGGGACCTACCTACCTTAAAAAAAATTCTTTGTATCTCTGAAATTCAAATTTGGGCATCTTGTGTATTTTTCTTTTGTTTTCTTTCTCTCTCGCTCTCTTTTCTAAATCTGGTGACTCTATTATATAAGTTGGAGAAAGGGGTGGAAGGAAAATGCCACAAGGTGGGAAGCAAGGGAAAGTGGCATCAATAGCACCCCAGCAAGGATAAAATCAGTTCAGTTTTGTAAAGTGTATAAATGCATACAGAAGTTAGGGAAGGGCTGGGATGTAGCTCGGTGGTACAGCGCTTGCCTAGCATGCGTGAGGCCCTGGGTTCGATCCCAGCACCAAAAAAGAAAAGACAAAAAAAAAAAAAAAAAACCTCTCCCCAGAAGTTAGGGAAAAGCTTAAACCCTACCTTTGTAAGGGGAGTTCATCATATGTTAAGTGAAAAGGCAAACGGCAGAGCAGTGAATGTGCTGAGATAATGTATGTGTGCTGAGGAGCAGTTTGAAGCCTGTGGGTGCCTGTTAGTCCCTGAAGGGACTTCTCAGGGCGTGGGATTGGAGAAGTGGGGTAGGAGAGGGAAATAATCAGCTTTGCTTTTATTCTTTATATGTCATCTACCAACTAAAACCTGGTTGATGTACACATAATGTCTACGGCAACAAAATCTAGTACTTTTATCTTTTTAAAAATATCAGACTAAGGCATCTAGTCCAGAACTTGAAAACATAATCTCTGGAGCTGTATCCACATGGATTCCAGGCTGGCTTCTGCCACTCTAACTATATACAATCCTGTTTCATTTATTTACCTGTAAAATGTAGAGAAAATACCTGCCTATTGTTTCTAATGAAATTAACCATTTGTTAAAATGGTTTCAGAGCTGTGAGTTGTAACTGACACACAATGCTTAATTACTTTTAATGCCAGTTCTTACTATTACAAGAACATAATCTAGGCTATAAGAATCATGATATTGAGGGAGGTGGCTGCAAATCCTAACGTGCTTAAAGTGAACCTCAGTCTGCTGGAGGCAAGCCACCAATGACTCTGGAATGACTGGACTTGGAGCAAGACTTCTACTCTTAGGACCTCTGCTGCCTTCTCTATACTTGTGGAAGAACCACTGGCTGTCCTGGGCTTCATTCTTTCACTCCACAGTCCTGGAGCACTTGCCATGGGTCAGTACATAGCTGTGGGCTCAGACATAGGAAGATCTGGTTCTACCTTCAAAGGTAACCCACTGTCTGGAAGATGACACAAATCAAGTGGCAAGTGCTGTGAAAGAGTGAACTTGGTGACACAAAGAAGGGGGAAGACACAGCATTGGTTCAGCTATTTGTCCAGCTATAGCATCCTTAAGATGCTGTCCAACTAGTTCCTAGCCAGATGAGGAGAGAACAGAGGCTGGATACCTGGTGTTGCTTTAGGATAGGCAAGGGAAGAAGAATACCACACAGATGACATCTCTGCAGAATGTCATAGGCTGCCTCCTCTTCTGTAGGAGAGGCAGCGCTTGTCCTGAGCTCAGACTTCCAAGGCAGATCTGTGGTTCTGTTTTTGCCTCTTGGTGTTGATATATTCATAGGTTTTGCCTTTGGACGGACATCTTTCTCCACTGTGGAAGACTGATTTCCAGAAGCCTGACTTGGAAGGGATGGAGGAGGAATTTTTGGCTTTTCAAAAGGACGATATTTCACAGACTCTGAGATTGGACGGCATTTATCCTGCAAATGTGAGAAGTATATCAATTTAAAAATGCCTTCAATGGCTTTAATGGTTGGACAATACAGTTGACGGGGTAACTGAAATTTTCCTGCCACACTTAGAATGCTGGGTGAAGCAAGACAGGTATTCAAGGTCACAGCTGACTTTGCAAGAAACAAAGGCTCTGAGTTCCAAGAATGAAGGACTAATTGGTTGCTAAGGTTTGAAAATGTCCCCTCCAAAATCCAGGTGTTGCCAATGTGTTAATATGAATGGTGATTAAGTCACATGGGTTCCTCCTTCATTAACGAAATTAAGAACCTGACTAAAGTATCATGCAGTATTTGGCTAACTTGCCCTTCTGCCACATGAGGACACAGCAAGACCCTTAGCAGACACCAAATGCCAACACCTTGACCTTGAACCTCCAGGCTCCAGAACTCTGAGAAATCAATCTCTGTTCAGGATAAATTACCCAGTCTGTGGTTTTCTGTTATAGTATTACAAATGGACTAAAGACACTGGGTAAACCCCTGAGCTGATGGTTTGGTGATGGGAAGAGATGTGGGTTCAGTCTTGCAACTAGGGGCTTAGATGAGAGAGAAGTCCTAGCCATACAAGGTGGGGAATTGAAACAAGACCCCCTTTCCCATGCATAACACTGGAATGAATGGCAAATTTTATATGTAAATCACTACAGTGATAAAAAAGCAAAGAGCTGGATCATTTCCAAGGTCTCTTTAGTTGTGATGGTCTATAGTTCTGTGAACTGAGGGGGTTCTGTCATAGGGAAAGGAGGCGACTTCCTTAAAGAGAAGCTGTGGTGAGTTTCCCAAGAGGAAAATGTTCCATCTGGTACATAGGAATAGAATAACTAGTCACTAAAAGGCACTTAGAAAGTCAGGTGTACTAGTTCACACCTGTAATCCCAGGTACTCAGGAGACAGAGGTTAGGAGGATGGAGACCTGAGGTCACCCAGGCAAAAGTGTGAGACCCTATCTAAAAAAAACTAAAACAATGAAAGGACTGCGACATGGCTCAAGTGTTAGAGCACTCGCCTAGGAAACTCAAGGTCCTTAGTTTAATCCTCAGTACTGTTGAAAGAAGGAAAGGAAGGAAAGGAAGGAAAAAGAAAGAATTGATGGTGCTAGGGCTGAGGGACAAGTCTGGGAGTGGTCCCAGGCAAAACCAATCAACAGGCACACATCATGTGACACTCCCTATTTTGTACTCAGCGTTGATATTAGCTTCACTATGGAAAAGTGGAAAAAAACATTCCGTTTTCCAGCTTACAGTCTAATGAAGAAGACTGCCACATGGGCAGAAACCAGTAAGGCAGGCCCTACTGAGGACCAAATTGCAATATCCAGTCCCTGAAGGTTGGTGAGGGTCAGAGAAGATCGTAATGTCAGGAGTGATCAAGGATGCTCCTTGAAGGGGTGGACACGGCTATGCATGCATGCTAGGCTTACCTAAAGCAATTCACAAAAGTCCCTTTTGGAACAAAGCAAAAAATAAATCCAGGGGCCTTTAATATCTGCTATATATTGGGCAAGAACCTTTTTGCCAGGCACCGGTGGCTCACGCCTGTAATTCTAGCTGCGCAGAAGGCAGAGATCAGAAGGATTGTGGTTTGAAGCCAGCCTGGGCAAACAGTTCTGAGACCCTATCTTGAATAAAACCCTTTACAAAAAAGGGTGGATGGAGTGGCTCAAGTGGCAGAGCGTCTGCCTGGCAAGTGTGAGGCCCTGAGTTCCCCAAAGTACCACCCCCCCAAAAAATCTGCTTTTCCTGTCACACTTTTTGGAATATGAATTGGCTATTGGCGCCAATAGAAAATGACCACTTGCTACTCACCACGAGGTGGACACACTTGTTTCTTGCAATCGTTTGGTTGCAATAATCACACTGGATTTTCCTTTCAGGCAATGCTTTCTTCTCTGAATAAGCACAGAAATAACACCACAAATGAATGCCCTTAACAATGGCTGGCTGATCTCTCTCTGATGGCCTGTATAGCCTGTACTCACTAGCATAGACTGTCCCCAGGCCTCCTGATGTGGGCTTTCTTGCACTGTCAGTGTCCTGAGCTACACAGGCCACCCTAGGGTGAGTAACCCACATGATGTTTTTTATGTCCACATTGACATTTGGGCAGCATGAACCCTGAGGAGACATTTTCCTGGTTTTTAAGGAAACGAAGGGAGCCATAACCACAGAACCTGTCTAATCAAACTGCTCTTTCATCCCACTGATTTTAGGCTCTGTGGTTGATCTAGACAGGTGTTGATCATACACATCAGCGTGTGGAAGCTGTGTTGTGTTGGATTTGTTGGAGAAATTGCATTGGAGACTATGTTGGGGGACACCTTGGGATGAAAGAAATGTACATGAATCTCATACTTTTTGGTTTTTCACTGGTCAGTTTTGACCTTGGGTAGATTGCTTATCAGAAGGTATTTACTATCTATTTTAGGGTTTCAGGCTCTCTCCACATGTTACCACATTACCAAAACAACCAACGAAGTCAAAAAATGTGTGTCACACTGATGATTGTGTCCTCAGTAAACACACCTCCGTGAGAGGTATTAAATTGGGACCAGAGGTCTGTAGCAAGTCTGGCCTTTGCTGATGGTGGAAAAGATCTAGATTTTGTACTGGAAATGAGTGTCCAGTATTATTTCTTCTTCATTCTCTGTACGCAGAAAATTTCTTTTGTTTTGTTTGTCGTCTGTAAAAGGATTCAGGTGGATCCCACCAGGCTAAGATTATGTTGAAGGACTTAAAAAAACTCCTTCATGTTTAGGGCTCCCCATGACTTACTCATCTGTGGGGCTCCCTGACCCCCACCCCCAGTCTCTTGTTCTCCCTGGATGAATCATTTAAAGGCCACTACAGATAACAAGGAGGTCACTCTCAAGCATAGCACAGAACTAGAACATCCAGATGAACCGAGAAGGAACGAACACCTTTTCTGTGCTGTCCAGGGCTTCTGGGCCTTGCATCCCACCCAGGAGAGGGTCTGGCTCTCAAAGCTTCCTTTTTCCTCCTCCCTAGTCTCTCCCTGCTGCTCACCTTCCCTGAGCCAGGCCTGTAGTGTCTGACAGATGTTTTTGTGCTGAGCCAGTGCATGGAGCAAGATGAGCTGGTTGCAGTGGGGACAGCGCTCTGTCCTGCTGCCACAAAGGGGCTCGTGCACCTGCAGCCTGCTGAGGTGCATGGTCAGCTCACAGAATTTGCATTTGCTGGTGTGCTCCAAGCATTCCTTAGTCTGTGGGAAGCAACAGGAAGGGTATGATCACTGGCCTGTTGAACTGTGGGAAGATCAGGGACATGAGACCACCCTACTGGGGAAATACGAAGTCTCTTGGACCTCATGGACCACAGAAAACTCTTGTATCCAGCATCTGGGGCAGGAGTACCTGTGTCCCTTGGGTGGGTTGGTTGTCCACTATATTCTGAGCGCACTCAGATGGGAAGGGCATGCTCAAGGGGACATCTTTATTATTGGCTTCTTCTTCCTTCTTCCTCTCCTTCTCCTGGGTTGGCTTGGTCAGCTATAGAGGAGAGATTGCAACTGACTCTTACTTCATGCAAGGGCCCTGTACACTCTGCTGACCCTTGTCACACTTGACCTAAATACACAGATGGGCATGGCTTCACCCAGCATCCTGGCCTTCCCACATCTTCCCTGGCTCATGGAGCTCCTGCTGGGCCCAGGAGCTCATAGAGGGTATGGACCAGGGTCCACCACCTCAGTCTCACTCTAGCACCAAGTCCAGTGCTCAAGAAGTGTTTGTTGGACCACTTTGAGTTGAAATAGTTGCCTGAGCTTGAGGATTTCCAGGAAGACAAAGGACTGATATGAAAAAGAAAGAAAGAAAAATCAGCTAGGCTTTCTGCCTTTGGGGCCCACCTTTTCTGCTTCCCTTCTTCATGAATCTCAAAAAACATTCAGCCTTTTCTGAATCAGGGACCCCTTGTCTTGCCACACCCATAGCTGGCAGGGAAAAGACTGGAAAAAGGGAATGTGGGGGTAGACTCAGTTTAGCATGAAAAAGGACATTTCCTTTTCACAAACAGATTGAACATGGAGGGGCTAATGTCCCAAGGGGGCTGGGGAGGACTGGACTCTGGCCCCTGATGCCTAGACCCTCATCTTTCCTGCCCCTGCTCACCTGTTGGTGCTCATTCTGCTGATGCTCCATCATTTTTGCCTTTGGAACAGATTCTTCACACTCAGGGCAAAGGACCAGGAATCGTAGGCAGTAAGCCTCATGGAGGGTGAAGTGAGCAGAGGCTACACTTCTTTTGCTACAGGATTGAGGGAGAAGGAAACCAGGCTTATTGTCTTGGTATAAAACACAGAGTCTTATTTCACACCCAGGGCAATGAAAAATATGATGGTTGTTGATGCCACCTTTCCTGGCCTTCTTCTAACTTAGCATTGTAACATAAGTGTGAGGTGGATCTACAAAATCCTGCATTGTCCAGGTCAATGGACAGGAAGGAGCAAGAGGGAAGAATCACATGGGGACCAGCGAGACTTTTGGGAGTGATGGATCCCTTCATTCCTGGATGATGGGATGGTGTCACAGATATATAACATGTCAAAATGTGTCAACTGGTACTTCAAAGATGTGCAGGTTATCCTACATCAATTATACTTCAGTAAAGCTGTAATGAAAATAAAATTATAAATATCCCATTCTTCCAAATCTTTTTACTTGGTTTTATTGGTGCCTCTGATTGCCCCAAGCCAGTTAGTAATGCATCCCTGCCACATCCACCCTTTCTGCATGGGTGATAACAACATTCAGAATCTTCAAGAGTTTCCCAAGGCTCTGAGAGGCTGTCCACCTGTCCACTGCCTCCAGGCTCACCTGTATTAACCCCCAAAGAGGCCTGGAGGTCCTTTTCAGAGATAAACAAAGGCTTCTGGGGCCCCCTCTTCTGGGGCAGGGTTTTCTAACCTTTCTCATCCCCAAGAAATGCTGCCTTTCTCCATCAACTCTTGCTGGTGTATATGCTGGAGAAAGAAGGCTCAGAGGCCATGATCCTAATAGCTCTGATGTCTAGGAGAGGTATAGACCAAGGCCCCTGGTGCCTGAGATGAGGCCAGAGAGTGACCCTTAAAGCCACACTGCTCTTCAATGGAACCAGCTGCCCTGGCAGATGCATGGGCAGCCTCACCTCCTCTCCCCCTGTCTGTCTTTTCCCTGCTGCTCTTCCTAGCCTGTTTCTGAGTCTTCTTTCTGAGCTGGTTCCTGGTCCAGTGATCGAGAGAGGTCTAGTTGGAGCAAAATTGTCTAGAGAGGCTCCACCCTGGTTTCTGTTGCAGGTGAGGCAGGCTAAGATAGAAAAAGTTCAGGACTCTTAGAACATATATGACTTAATATTGTATTTCAGGATGGATATTCTTCTCTTTCTCTGAGCCTTCTTTTCAATTGCGAATGTGTGTAGGTTATTCACACCCTGGCACGGGGACAGCTCAAACCACCCCTACCTCAGCCCAGGGACACCCATGCTTCTCCCCACTCATCAATTATTGGTGGTTAGTAATCACCAGGTTCTTCCCTTCCCGTAGGTTAGTGTAGGATTTAAAAGCACCTGGAAAGAGGAAGACACTTTCTCTGCTTCTGCCTCATACCTGGCCCCACCAAGGCCTTTTGTAACTCCTTTCCTTACCTCCCTTACTATACCAGATGTCCTCCTGGATGCTTCCACACGGGACACAAAGAGTATGGAAATCTTCTGACCAGAGACTGCACCAGCTGACAGCACAGGTAGGGGTTTCAAGAGCAAGGTTCTTCCGCTCCCTGTCAGGGTGAGGGAGGGAGTAGCCCCGGAGTACCTGTGAGCCCTTCAAGTTCACAGCTTGGTGTGAAGACCATGTTGCAGAACTCCACATGAGAACTAAGCTCTGACAGTACGAGTAGACCGAAAGGGACAAGCCCCTGGCTAATTCAGTTGAGGGCTGACCCAGAAACTGAAAAACCCAAGTTCAGGGTGTGTGGTGCAGGCAAGGTGGAACTAGCCACCCTAAGCTGGACATCTGGAGAGGTTCAGCCTTCCCGTTTAAGGGCTCCAGTCCCTATCCTCTTGCTCTCCCAATGTTTCTATGCTGGGAGAAAGTGGCCTCTTACCAGTTCCCGCACACCTGGAAGTCACCCTCCATGGTCCAGTCCCCAGAGGCTTTCAGGTCAGTTTCGTTTCTTGCAGACAAGAAAACAAAAATGAAAGTGCTCCCAAGCCCAGCCCAAAGCTGAGAGGGAGGGGACTTTCAGAATTCCGAGGTTCCTGTGGCTGGACACTCTCAGAAAGCCACTTGTCAGCTCACCAGCCCTGCCTTCTCCCTCCGCCTGGGGTGTCTGTGTGACTTAGCAAGTCAGAGACCAGGTCTCCCGTGGGCAGCAACTCCCCCTTCCTCTTCCTAGCTGCTGTTACTTCATCCCACCTGGGTCTCCAGTCATTTATTCCTGAGGCAGGCTAGGATTAGGGAAAGTTTGGGACCCATAGAAAAATGTCGCAGAAATATTTTAGATTGGCCATGCCCTGGCTCAGGGACCGCCCTCACCTGGCCTGGGAAACACCCATACCCCTCCCCACTCATTGATTATTGGATGGGAATCACCTGGTTTCTCCCTTCTCATAGGTTAGCGAAGGTTTTTAAAAGCACCAGGAGAAGAGAAGCATGCTCTCTCAGCCTCCAGATTCTACCCACGCCCACCATGCTCCCTTTTGTATTTCCCCTAACTTTTAATAAACTCCATTTACATCCACGTGTCCTGTGATGGATTCTTCCCCTCGGGACACAAAGACTTGGAAGTCTTCTGATCACACACTCCACCCTGCTTCCAACATTTCCACCTGTCCCCTGCTCCTGCTTCTCTGGTCCCTCCTCTGAGGTGGGAGGTAGCTTTCATGTTGAACGGGAGGGCCGCTCCCTGAAAAAGCAGCTCCTGGGGTCCTGCACCCTGCTCTGGCCCCAATTGGTGGTGACTTCGAAAACAGAGTCTATGGAGGACCTGGTTGCTGTGTGCCCCAACTGCAGGCTTTGGGTCAGAGTCCTGGGAGTTAAGTCACACTTCTTAGCAGCGTGGTGAGTCTTCCTGACTTCGACCTCAAGTCTAAAACAATCACAGCAAACACTAACACAGTGCCAAGGTGACAGGCACCATGAGGAGATCCTGTTATCCCATCTTCAGCTGACAAAACTGAGGCCCAGGTGACGTCCATGTGACTTGGATAAGTGACATCAGCAACAGGCAGCGCTGTCAGGCTGTGAACCAGATCATGTGGCCTGAGGTGTAACTATAGTATAGCAGGGCGGAGGGCACCCCCCTCCCCCAGAAAAAAAAAGAAACAAGTCTGTGTTCTGAAAATGTAGTAGGGGGGAGGGGATGGCACAGCTGGAGATAAAACTTAAAAATCTAAAACGTGAAGAAGGTCACATAGCACAGGGGATGAAGTAGACAAATAGAGTTACATGCAACCATATATAGGTTAAACCTCGCTTTTTGCTCTGTAACCTGCTGGCGAGGATATATAAGGTGAGATCCCTTTGTTCTTGGGGTTCAGCCTTTGGATGTGAATCCGCTGAGCCGCTGCTGGCATGCTAATAAATATCGCTTCCTGAAAAGCCTTGGTGTTCCGTGTCTCTGTTCGAGATTCCTGTAACAATAGGGTTGGGAAATCTGAGTTTGGATCATGATGGTGTCATTAACTGGAAGCTTGAGTCACCTTAGCCTTCCTGGGCTTCTGTGTTTCCTTGTTTATTGGATTTCACTGGTGACCTGAGGGACTTCAGGAGCCCAAGTGCTCCCAGAAGTTGTGTGCAAAATTTCCTTCATATGAGTGGAGGCTTTTTCTTGAGGAGGCACCCACAGCCCTAGACAATTATGAAAGACTAGACTATTCAAGTCCTTGTGTCTTTGAGATTCAAAGAAACCAAGTTCTGTTAAAGGCAACACATCAAAAATTATAATGTATAATTGAATCAAGTGAATATAGACCATTTCCAAGTGTCTCTTCTCATGTTTGTTCTTTTTACAGGAAGAGGCAGGCTGTGGTTAGATAAATAAAAATGACAAAACAGGGGCAAAGGGTGTAGATTACTGAGAACTTGCTTGGCATGCATGAGCCCAATGGGATCAATCCTCAGCACCGCTCTCTCTCAAAAAAAAAAACCATGACAAGCCAGGTGCTGGTAGCCCATGCCTGTAATCCTAGCTACTCAGGAGGCAGAGATCTGGAGGATTGTGATTTGAAGCCAGCCCAGGCAAATAATTTACCCCATCTAGAAAAGACCAAACTCAAAAACTGGGCTGGCAAAGTGGTTCAAGTGGTAGAGCACCTGCCTACCCCTTGAGGCCCTGAGTTCAAATCCTAGTACCACAAAAAAAGGTGACAAAACAATGTATCTAATAGCTTAGTGACAACTGGGAAAATTTGCAGATGCAATCGTGTGTTGCAGAATGATGTTTCCATCAACGATGGGTTACACACCTAAGTCAGTGGTCCTGTAAGATGATAGTGGCGCTGAAAAATCCTACCACATAGTGAGGCTGTCACTGTCCTAATATCAGAGCACAGTGCAGAACTAATGTTTGTGGCAATGCTGGTGATCGAGCCTGTGCTGCCACTGCCAGAGGTACAGAAGTATAGCCCAAGGGGGTAATGGAACATACGACCAAAGGACATTACATACATGTATGAAAACGTCAAGATAACAAAAGTATGACACATACAATTATGCACAGTACATACTATGCTATATCATTATTTAGAGAGTACCTCCACTTCCAAACAAAAAGTTTAGGACTGGAATTATATTTCAGTAGTAGAGCACTTGCTAGCATGCATGAAGCCGTGGGTTTGCTGCATAAATTATTGTTTATGCAAAATAATAATTTAAAAAATTTTAAAGCTTACTATTGTTGGGTTGGCAGAGTGGCTCAAATGGTGGGGTTTCCTGTCTAATTAGTGCAAGGCTCCGAGTTCAATCCCAATACTGCCAGAAAAACAAAAGTTTCAATGTAAAAAAAAAAAAAAAGAGGTGACATTGCAGTCATCTGAAATGTGTTATTTCCTAATAAATTTTACTACCACCTTCACTTTGTTTTGGGTCTTGCTTGAAATCTCTCAATGGACAGGAGAACTGAGATTTCCACACTCACCGTTTGGTAACATCTTCCGGGTCTTGATTTGGATCTGATAGGTCTGTATGGCAAGAGGCCATCAAACTTCAAATGATACTGTTAACAGCTCTGGTGCAGTCTGATCAGAAGACTTCCAAATTCCTTGTATCCCACCAGGGAGAATCCACGGCAGGAAACACAGGTTAGGGAAGGGAAATACAAAGGGAAGCATGGTGAGGCCAAGGTGGAAGCTGGAAACTAAGCGAGTGTGTTTTTGCGCTTCAGGTGCTTTTAAAACACAGGATAACCTATGGGAAGGGGAGAACAAGGAAATTACCACCCAATAATTAATGATTGGGGAGGGGTATGGGAGGTTCCCAGCCAGGTGAGGGTGGTTCCTGAGCCAAAGCATGGTTAATCTAAGATGTAATATTTTTCTATGAGTCCCTAATTTAGCCTTTCTCAATACAATTCAACAGCTCACTCTACTAAACTCTGAGCATGGTTCCTCCTCCTTAAACACAACTATTGCTGATTATAATCTCCAAAGGATACATACAACCCCTTCACAAGGGTCCCCATGAATCTGAAACAAGATAGATGAGGAAAAGAAAGTTAAAATTACCAAATAGTGAAAGGGCTAGCCTGGGCCCTGGTGGCTCAGGCCTGTAATCCTAGCTACTCAGGAGGCAGAAATCAGGAGGATCTTGGTTCAAAGCTAGCCCCAAACAAATAGTTCTCAAGACTCTATCTCGAAAAAACCAATACAAAACAGGGCTGGCAGAGTGGCTCAAGTGGTAGAGTGCCTGTCCAGCAAGCATAAAGCCCTGAGTTCAAACCCCAGTGCCACCAAAGAAGATAACTAAATAAAAGGCCCAGGCTTGGAAAGTAAAAACTGAAAAGCCAAAGTAACTAGCACAGCACCCATCATACCTACTTTTAGATGTTAGGTTATAAGAACAGGAGACAGTAAGGGGCTAGCTGTACTTGTCTCTTCCTTTGGGATGTTAAAAAGAGGAGAATTTTAGGAAAGTCCTGAAATTGCCTATTGTCCCTGTGTTTTGGATAGATCTAGATTGCACTTCATGTTTTACAATAATACACAGCACACATCTTACCCACCCCAAACTATTGTCTAAGGATTAGGGCGTATTCCCCCAGTTCAAAATTAGAAAGGCCACAAGTGAGAACCGCCATTTGGGGTCTTTACTTCTATTTCTTGTATAGGGAGCAGGAAATATTTCTCCCCCTCTCCCCCCATTTCTCCCTACTTTATCCCATTATACAAAAATAAATCCTTGCTAAAACTCCGCCTTATGAGACTTTCCTTTTGTGTGAGATACCTTGAAATTCTTTTCATGTATGGATCTCAAGTTTCTTAATTTTGCATGGAAACTGGGAAGCTGAGGGACCACCCCCTCATCTGGTGACAGATTGCCCATGACCTGATATCCCACCTGACATCATTGACAGAAAGCCAGGGCAAGAGACTCCTGACAGGCCTACACCCCATACCAGGAAGTAGCCAAAGACTGACTTTGACTTCTTATTTCCTAAAAGATTTCAGTCTACAGTTCTTGATTGGGCGATAATAGGTAGCAGTTATGAGCAATGGAGATGTGCAAAGAGAACCTAAAGTGGAGGATTCTTCAAGGTCTCAGCTCTTTAAAGGGGAAAATGTTAGGTAGCAGGTAAACATAAATGGTACCACAGGAAGAAGAGATCACAAGGTCTGTAAGGGAAAACATTGTAATTAAACTTTCTAACTCACAGGTGGCAAGCCTCTGTTAAGCTCAAAATAGCCTAACAAAGTCATGGGATGTCACAAGATGTTTTTGAGCCCCCCCACCAATCTAAAGATTAACAAAAACTTTCCCAAACAATGTATACACATTTGAGTAAATGTAAAAATGATTTAAAAAAAAAACCAGCTTTATTCAAGCCTAAAGTGGGTCAACAACAAATAGTTCCTGGAATAACAGATCTTTAACTTAACAAGACAGAGATCCAGGTGTCTCCCCTAGCCTCCAGACACCAA